GAATAGTTTATAAAAATAACATATAMTTTTCTAGCTATATATTTATATATTCACGCCCCTTTCTGTCGGCTTCAAGATTGAATYATAATTGAAAAGAAACCTTTCAAAAACGAGATTCTTAAACTAGATCAACWTGCCAAGAGAAGCAACGAGTTATTTGTTAATTACTTTAAGTAGACACTTTTAGAGTTTTTAGTTGTGTAGCAAAGGTTATCCTATCCTTCCAACCGTGTTGTTTATAACGGACTTATCAATTTTCTTTGCGTTGGCTTTTGTGACCTGTTCAGACATTGAATTGCTAAACGTTAACATAACAATAACAAGAAAGCAACGTGAAAACTCCAATCAAATATATACAACAATCACTGGCGATTCTTAAGGTGTTATTTTGAATAGATTGGTTTGTTTGACGACTTTCAAAATGGCCAACACTTAGATAGCATATTATCGTTAAATTCCTAATGCTGTCAAAAGAAAACACTCAGATAGTAGAAATCAAAGCTAAAGACAATTTCTCAAAGTTTCAGATAAGAATATTAAATTCTCTTGAAGTCATACCATAAGTGTTAGAAGAGGCAAAAAAACACCAAGACGAGGCTAACAAGGCCTCAGCAAAGAATTTCACACAAATCCGTGTAGTTTTATTCCCCCATAACTTTGTTAGCACTTAGTCAATAACTTCAAAACTTTCCACAAATTATACCTATTTCTGATAGTTCTTTTATATGACTGTCCTGGAAGTTTCCATAATATATTGTCTATTGTATGAAATCGATGGTAGATACTTTCGAAATGGTCTCATGATGATGGTCTAGTTGGTAGAGTGATCTATAAAAGAGCGCTTTTCAAAAAAGCCAAAGTTTAAAACAGTGTGATACACAGAAATGACAAAAAAAAAAAACTTAAAAAAAAAATAAAGAAAACACAGCCTAAAAAAGGGTAGCAAAGTGTAACTATTGAAAACCACTCTAATACGTGAAATACACTTTAGAGTGCTACGCTTTATTACTCTTTATTTTGTACATTTTTCTCTGTCTTTTTAGTGTATAAAACTTTCACTGTTACCGTTTGTTTATTAAAATCACTCAAATAGTTGATGGTCGACTTTGACGAAAAACAAATGAAAACAATGACTGTGATGTCTACTGAAACGACTAGTAAGCCTCATTCTTAATAGTCTCCTTCACGGTTACCTGAGCCATCTTGAAAGGTAGCCGTGCCTTTACATCGAAGCGAGACAACCGTTGAGCGTGCAATGATAGAAACCTGTGAATAATTGTCTGTAGGTGTGAAAGAAGGTTTCTATCATTGCATACTCAACGGTNTATTTATATATTCACGCCCCTTTCTGTCGGCTTCAAGATTGAATTATAATTGAAAAGAAACCTTTCAAAAACGAGATTCTTAAACTAGATCAACTTGCCAAGAGAAGCAACGAGTTATTTGTTAATTACTTTAAGTAGACACTTTTAGAGTTTTTAGTTGTGTAGCAAAGGTTATCCTATCCTTCCAACTGTGTTGTTTATAACGGACTTATCAATTTTCTTTGCGTTGGCTTTTGTGACCTGTTCAGACGTTGAATTGCTAAACGTTAACATAACAATAACAAGAAAGCAACGTGAAAACTCCAATCAAATAAATACAACAATCACTGACGATTCTTAAGGTGTTATTTTGAATAGATTGGTTTTTGTTTGTAGATAGCATATTATCGTTATATTCCTAATGTTGTCAGAAGAAAACACTCAGATGATAGATAGCAAAGCTAAAGAAAATTTCTCAAAGTTTCAGATACGAATATTAAATTCTCTTGAAGTTATAAGTGTTAGAAGAGGCAAAAAACACCAAGACGAGGTTACCAAGGCCTCAGCAAAGAATTTCACACAAATCTGTGTAGTTTTATTCCCCCATAACTTTGTTAGTACTTAGTCAATAACTTCAAAACTTTCCACAAATTATACCTATTTCTGATAGTTCTTTTATAAGACTACCCTGAAAGTTTCCATAATATTGTCTATTTTATGAAATCGATGATAGATATTTTCGAAATGGTCTCATGATGATGGTCTAGTTGGTAGAGTGATCTATAATAGAGAGGTTTTCAAAAAAAGCCAAAGTTTAAAAGAGTGTGATACACAGGAATGACAAAAAAGACTTAAAAAATAAAGAAAATACAGCCTATAAAAAAGGGTAGTAAAGTGTAACTATTGAAAACCACCGACTCTAATACGTGAAATACAATTTAGAGTGCTACGCTTTATTACTCKTTATTTTGTACATTTTTCTCTGTCTTTTTAGTGTATCAAACTTTCACTGTTACCGTTTGTTTATTAAAATCACTCAAATAGTTGATGGTCGACTTTGACGAAAAATAAATGAAAACAATGACTGTGATGTCTACTGAAACAACTAGTAAGCCTCATTCTTAATTGGAATAACCACTCCTAGAAGACCAATGTTTATTTTTACTATATGAGAACGGATCATGTAGCTAGAAATGGTGAAATATGCTAGTTGTAGCCTTTCCGCAAATACATCCAGTCGGAAAAGGACTTGCTATATGGATGACATTCAGATGATGCTCGCTAGCCACACAGGAATAGGATAGTATCAAATGAAGCCTTAGTTGCTATATAGTGTAAGCTGTAAGTATGTGATTACAAGCTTTCGCTGTCTGCAGCATCTTCCCTAATATACGCATCATGCTTCTAAAGGATAACTACAAGGGAAGTTTTCTATATCATTGTGATACTTGGTGAATTTTGATTCTTTTTTATGATCGTAATATAAAAATTAGGTAATACCTAATGGTGGAGCTCCAATAGCAAAAAGGAGGGAACGATTATCTTGTACTACTATTTCAAGGATAGCCGTAGTAGGGTTACGCTATTTGTTTGAAGTCTCTATCAATCCAGTGCTGCTTGAAATGGTCTGGTTTCAAAATGTCCACACTTCTTACAAATCGATTTCCCGGATGTGCAAGAGCGTCGTTGACACTAAAATTGGCGAGAATATTTCTGTGCTTTGATTTCGCTCTTTGTGTTTTTTTCTAATATCATCATTTTCGAAGATAAATGTTTGAGGAAAAAAAATCGGTGTTTCAACAAATATTTTGGCGGTTTGGTTTTCCTTTTCGAGCGGAGTATGGGTTTCCTGTGGTGGTACACGACGGAACATTCGGAAACGTGCGTACGCGCGGGAGCCCTGTGTCGGCAATGAAATATGGACTCGATAGATATTTACCATTTTTTATTAGCTATCATACTCCCGAGCTCCGCTGTAATTTCAATACAGTCATTTAGAGAAATTATGCACCGCTAACAAATATACAGTTATTTCAGAAAACGGTGAAAAGTACTGATTCTTAATATTTGAAAAAAAGCATGTATGATTTCAATATTTCGATACAGTCATTTTAGGAATTCTGACTGCTATCTCATAAACAATACTGTAAACATTGAATACTGAAAGGCGGAGATATCGCATTCCAAGACCGGAACCCATTGGTGGTTCGTTCTCCCTCATCTAATACATGTGAKATTCGACGTTTGACCCTTGCTTTAAGAGTGCCACATATTAATTTTATGTGATGTTTTRKGCCGACGAATATAGAAGAGGACGTTTGATCTGACTTGCTTTAGTTGCTAAACTAAGTTATTCAGTCCAGTCAATCTCACTGGATTCAACTCAGTAAAGTACGACGTTTGACACATTGGCGTACAGCATTCAACGTAATTTGAGAAAGCACATCTCCGTACCTGATATAGCCTATGATCCAATAATACTATTTCTACACAAGGCCTTGATTGYCTTTACGTACAGGAACATTAGACTACCAGGCTGTGTATCACAGTGGACATAACCAGTTACAAATATCATCTCGCTATATAGCTCACCAATCTTTTGCGATACCTGGAAAAAAAATATACACAACTAATTAGAAAAGATATGACAGATAGAAACCTTTTTGGGGTTTCAGTTACGTCATAACAATTTTTATCTTATTCGCATTAAAATATGACATGCATATCCTTTTACAGCATGAAAAGCTACATTGTTTGACAAAAATTTAGGATTTTACAGCATTTGCTTTCAATCAAAGATACGCAAAATTCGGTAAAATTTAATGGCGGAAATCCAGACGGTGGTCAAATGTGATGACCACCTCTGGATTCAAAGACTTACAGCGACAGACATTTGAAGTTTTTGACGTATTTTATTGAAAAATATCTCTAAATGTAAATTTACAATGTTCAAATGTTTCTACAATCTTTCTACAATATAATATAATTTAAAAATCTCTATTATTACTAAAAATATGTAAACAAGAAGAAAAATCTCAAAATATCACAAAAAAAAATTAAAAAAAAAAAAATTAAAAAAATTATCTATATATAAATGTGTAAAAATATTTATGAAATGGCTGCCTGCAAGTTTTCTGCATCGATGTCTACATTAATAAAGTCAGTTTTTGGTCTTCTAATTGTTCTTGAACCCCTTAGGCAGATTAGGGCAGATCTCAATAAAGCAAATGATGTTTTGGCCCTTATCCATGAGATAGTCTTTGAATAGTTCTCTCCTTTCTTTGTTGGCAATAAGTTCTGCAAGACGACTGTGGTATCTTAGACATTCAGGTCCCATCCCACCAGTAGAGGTGAACACAAGAGGTGTGAACGTATTTGACGTATTTCGTTATAATAATCTTGCAGTAAATAAAACGTGTGCATTTGAGGCTAACTTTTTTTATGCACATCTAATTCATAGTTCCGACAAATCAAACGCGTCGTTCGCGCGCGCTGGATTGGCCAATCAAAATAGAGGACACGTAATGGCAGCAATGTTGTCCCACAAAAAAATGTAAACAAAGTCGGATCGGAGGGCGAAGTTGAGATGGTTTTGAGATGTTGCTGGGGCACTTGTAAAGCAAATGAGCGCTAGCCAGCCAGGTGAAATGGATCGGAGGACGATTCATTTTGATTCCCAAGTCAAAAACTATAATCTAGAAAAATGTGCAGAAAAAAGCACGAAGTACTAAAAGTAAAACTCATAAAAAATAATTAAATCGTTTCTCTGAGCCTATCTCAGATTGACTATTAAATGTTTTTAACAAAAGAAACAGAAATTTTATCGGAAATTTCATCGACAAATCGTCGAAGACTGTCATTAAAAAAAATCGAAAGCATTTGTGGGACAAGCGCGAGCGTTCGATTCCCGCGCTTTCGCGTTGCGTGACACAATTCAAGCTAATATCTCGAGAACCAAAGAACTGTATGCACTCATTTTTGTTCTTATATCTTTATCCCATAGTTATAACATATATAGTTTGCATCATTATAGGAGGCATATTAGAAAATGTATATTTTTGTGACGTTACGTGAAACCCAAGAATACAGGAGCTTGAATTCCTTTGCTAAGAAGACGCTAAAACAGATAAAGTCCGTATTACTGATTACAGCYGCCRTCTTGAGTTTTACTAAACAATTATTCAGATTCAATTCCATATCMAAAGTGGTGTAAAACATCAATACAAATCAACAAATTTGGATGTTTTGAAAGCAAAATGTCCATTTTAAAGCACTAAATTGTCAGARAAAGTAATTACGGGTGCCATTCTTTGCCGCTTTTKCATAATACAATACCACTASGGTATTGAAAATAGAGATTTACTTTAAAAAACTCTTAAGAAAGGTCTATAGAAAATTTGAASGTCTGTTAATCCGYGAACAACTTATGAAGGTACCTTAGTAAACTGGAAAGAATAATAGATTTAACTGTGTATGACACGTCTCAACGAGTGAYATAATCGCAAGAGGATCAGCATATSATTGTGTATAGCATCATTGACTTTAAAGCATTTGGGTGGCTCCTAAAGGAGCCGTTTGTTTGTTTTGTAGYGTGTTAAACACTTTATTTCTTGGCTGTCTTCTTGGCTGCCTTTTTGGGTGACTTCTTAGCGGCTGGTTTCTTCGTCGGTTTCTTTGCGGCCGGCTTCTTAGCAGGTTTGGCGGCCGCTTTTTTTGGTGCAGATTTCTTAGCTGCCGGCTTCTTTGCTTTCTTTGGAGAACCTTTTGAAGCTTTCTTTGCCGCGGGCATCTTCGCTGGTTTCTTGGCCGAAGACTTCTTGGAGGCTGGCTTCTTAGCAGCGGGCTTCTTGGCAGCAGCGGGCTTCTTGGCTTTCTTTGGTTTCTCGACTGCTGCTTTGTTGATCTTGAATGAGCCTGAAGCACCGGTGCCTTTAACTTGAGTTAGTTTTCCTGCTGCAACCATTCTTTTTAGGGTAAGTTTGACTTGTACTCCAGCGTTATCTCCAACTTTATAGTTGGCCTGGATGTACTTCACGATGGCCTGTCGAGAAGAGCCATTGCGTTCTTTCAAGGCCCCGACRGCGGCCGCCACCATGTCGCTGTACTTAGGATGACTAGCAGGTTTCTTTGCGTCTGACATTTTGAATTGTAAACAAGAACGATTAGGTAACTCGATGAGTTTGGAATGATGCTAGCTTTGGCGGGAAGCGTCTATTTATGCGCCYTGTCGGACCTCCGCGGAAGCAGGCTCGCCAAACAATGATCCAACATGGAGGACAGAGTTGATGTGTTTGTTGTATGACTTAGAGAGAATATTTCAGCTTAATGAAACTTCTATTTGATTGTRTCYTCACCCTAAATGATAGAMCAGCTCAAAATCAACATGTCTACCTCTTTTTGAAGCTGTTTGTGTAGTTTTGACAAAAATATAAAGCAATTTGTAGAGTTTGTGAGGTCTTCATTTATCATAGTCGGTGCATATAATGGTCAATTTCTCGGTTAAAATAACGCTAAACTCTAAAATATTCTCGCAATACAGGAGAACATTTATTGTAGAATTCATGACTTGTATTACTTAGGCAAACTGCAGCTCTGCTTTGAAACATTTTGAGATTAAATCAACACAACAAACACACTGCTTGTCTTCCCGGTTGTGCTGCTTCGAGTTGAGCTTTACTTCACGAACAGTTTCTACGCAAATGATACCATATCAATAAAACCTTTTTACTAAAAAGACAGTTTCTGTTTTTCTAATTAGTAAATATTCTTTTTAAAACAAAGCAAAATTCTAAAAAGTCGTGATTGAAATTGAAATTAGACGGAAATGTTTGTTCTGTTTGGCCACGTGGACAAAGTTTTCTTCAGTTTTGCATGGATGGWTTCAAAGTTTAGGCAACAACTACYCACGCAAAACCATAGTTATCTGAAGCTAAACATAAACATTTAACAAATTTCATATTTRTAAAAAGATAGCCACAAAAACATTAGCTGTTATATGTATTAYTTGTCTTTTGAGTTGAAATTCTTAGAGRATTGTTAGACAGCTTGAAGACTAAAAGACGGAAATGAAGACTGGCCAGAAATGCGAAATTTTCAWGTCCAAAWCTACGAAAATACRTATAGAGAAACTATATTTTGTAGCAAAGAACATTTATTGATTGTTATAGAATAAGATAGGTTCTAATAAATCCGCTAGTGCTGCGTGAATCACATGTAAGGTCATAGAAATACCGGGATTGTAAAGTGCTACTGGCCGCGTATAGAGCTATTGAACATAACTGTTGGGTGAGTATTTTAAATTTTATTATTTCAGCCTTGTGAATCTTTGATTATAATTTGAAATCTCTGCACTTACTAAAAAATCACGATTGCATATTTTATTTCCAATAAACAAACAAGCATTGGTTATTGACTTTCTAGCATGTGGTGGCTCCTAAAAGAGCCGTTGTTTGTGTTTGATTGATAAGCAGTTTAAGCTCTCTCGCCACGTATTCTGCGAGCAAGTTGAATGTCCTTGGGCATGATTGTGACTCGCTTGGCGTGAATGGCGCACAAGTTGGTGTCTTCAAACAGGCCAACCAAGTAAGCCTCACTAGCCTCCTGAAGGGCCATCACGGCTGAACTCTGGAATCGAAGATCGGTCTTGAAGTCCTGAGCAATTTCGCGGACAAGACGCTGGAAGGGAAGCTTGCGGATCAGCAGCTCGGTAGACTTCTGGTAACGACGGATCTCACGAAGAGCGACTGTACCAGGCCTGTAGCGATGTGGTTTCTTGACTCCACCAGTTGCTGGGGCACTTTTACGTGCTGCCTTGGTKGCSAGTTGYTTACGGGGAGCCTTTCCTCCGGTAGACTTACGAGCGGTTTGTTTTGTACGAGCCATAATTTCTTGYTACGTTTACAATCTAAACTGATAAACTTATGTTCAAAGCAATGATTGTTATATTTGGCGCTCTTGAATCCGATTGGTTTAGATAATCCTGCTTTCTTATTGGTTAACTGTACCTGTGCTCAAACATCATTGGTTCGTTTATTATCCCGCCATTTTCCAAAATTCTAAAACTAGAAGCTCAGTTATTTTCTGGATTCAAAAAACACTCGATGCTTTCATTGTACTGCGTTCAAAACTGATCTCTAGAAACATTGTACTTAGAACTTCTGGTTGTAATAATTTGACTGGTTTATTAAGTTTCTAAACAACAATATTTCCATGTGAACTTTGGGTTTCAGAAGTATAAAACTCAAAACAAGGATCAGTTATCTTCGCAGCATAATTAATGAGGCGTTAATAATGTGTTGCCAGGGCTATTGTAAGCTATTCAACCAATCATGTCACGCTATACACTGTTTACTACGAGGTTCGGTAGCTTGTATAAATCTCCTGTAGCCTTGCTAGTGAAGTATCATTCTACTTTAGAAAGAAACCTGTAAACATGACTGGAAGAGGCAAAGGAGGAAAAGGTCTAGGAAAAGGAGGCGCCAAGCGTCATCGTAAGATCCTTCGGGATAATATCCAGGGTATTACTAAGCCCGCCATCCGTCGTCTTGCTCGACGTGGTGGAGTCAAGCGAATCTCTGGCCTGATCTACGAAGAGACCCGAGGTGTCCTTAAAGTTTTCCTTGAGAACGTGATCCGTGATGCTGTCACCTACACCGAGCACGCCAAGAGAAAGACCGTCACTGCCATGGATGTCGTCTACGCTCTGAAACGCCAAGGACGTACTCTGTACGGTTTTGGTGGTTA